GCACAAAATGAGAAGAAAAAATAATTTACACCAAAAAAAATAATCAAAAAGTATACTTTAAAACTGAATGTCATGCAAACCATATACAGACTTAAGTATATTTTAAGCTTTGAAAATCTATTCTGTATTACAGTTTTGTTAATTTATCATTTTAAGCAATTAACTGTAACTCTCTCTCTCTCTCTCTCTCTCTCTCTCTCTCTCTCTCTCTCTCTCTCTCTCTCTCTCTCTCTGGATAAAAAAATCAAAATTAGTTACATATATATCAAATTTAAACAAATAGCAAATATTAAATAGCAAGTATTAATCATTATTAAATTACAAAGGACACTTAATGAACAAAACAAAAAATAACAAAACACATGTACACCACATTCAATAACAAACAATCCTGAGTATTTATCAGTTGCCATAGCAATGTGTTAAGGATTTGTAGAACAAAGTAGAGATCAAGAATGTGTCAATCTTCTGGAATGAGCCTATGTTTAGTGGCCAGTGTCTCTGTAGATCCCGTGACCTTGTTATGACATCTATAGTGTAAAGTAACGACTACTCCAAGCCCTCATCACAAAGCCTCCACTTCATCTACACTGGGAGGTTCATAATAGCGGGGACCATTCACCTGAAATACACACATCACATCTGAGGAGTGAAGAATTTGGAGTCTTAAAAAATTGTCAGCAGTAATTCACTTTCAACAGAAACCAGTAAGTGTACTCTACTACTATGATTAGACATTATCCACCTAAACAACTCTGTTTCTACAGAAATGCATAAGAAAATGTTGATTCTTTCACCTCTTCCTTTCATCACCACCAAAATATTTTTTTAAAGGATTTAAAATCACTGATTAAATAATATACATGTATATACAGGGTTATATTTTGCGCCCTTTTATTTTTACCCTTTCAATCTTGCAAACAATTTTTTCCTCATTTTAAATTCGCCCTGTCACACTTTTGTTTAAGAAATTATACTGCGCTCTTTGAATTCGCCCCATTTTAAATTGGAGGTTTGGGCAAAAGGGGCAAAAATAAAATGGGGGCATAAATTTCAGTGTACGAGGGCCGTTCAAAAATTACGCGGACTGTGCTATTATTTACTCTTACAGACGTCATATTGTTATGAAATTTCTCAGAAATATGTATCTTAAAGATTCGAATAAAATTTGAGCAAAATTTCTGTATTTTAAAAAATTCTACTAAAGTTATCGGTATGTTGATATCGCTGATGGAGAGTTACGGAGCATGACAAAAAATTTGAAGCAAAAGCATGCGGAATCTAAAAATTAACTCATTAATTTTCTATAATTAGCGATATTTTTCGACAATTTTCTCAAATGTATCTTTAAATTGTTTCATTATTATGCATTTAGATTTCTGACGTGATATTTGAAGTACTAACAGAAATATAGTGATTTTTCTCTGATGTGATTCTCATGAAAACGACTGTGAAAATGACGTCTCCTGAATTGACGGCGCACCAAACTTTTGTCGAATTATGTGTAATGTTCGAGATATCGCCAACATAGATCCAAAATATGCATAAGAAAACATGTAGTAAACTAGGGTATTCGTGACATTCGTCCACAAAAAGCAAATTGAAATTTTAGACAGTTAGACCTCTGTAAAATGGCTATACGGGAGGACGGGAAGAAGATTATCGACGAAAACTTTATCCGGACTGTAAAGAATGTGATTGAGAGTCACCAATATCACACTTTATCTCATAAATACCTGCAGATTTTGGTTTTAAAACAAAAAAAGAATATTCTTTACTTGTTTAATATATTTTAAGCTTGACAAGAATGGTATTTAGATGTTGAGTAAATAAGGTAACTCAAACTGTACAGGTACTCTTAGGAAAATGTTGAGAAAATGAAAGCTCAATAACATATTTTTATAATGCGTGTGACGTCGAAGATTTTGCTGCTCTATGACTTAATGATATGTCCTGAAAAATCACTCAAAATTGATACCAATTTACAACATTTTGATATGAAATTTTGAAGACCATATAAGAAAAAATTCTTTTATATTATGTGTGACATTTTGCCCAATTATGTCGTCAAATATTTTTTCTGTGCAACAAGTCCGCGTAATTTTTGAATGGCCCTTGTATAGTAAGAGACTACTGACCTCAATATCGTAGTTGATGACAAAGGGTGGAATGTCCAGCTGATCTGGGAAGATTGTGCCATACAAATACTGTATACCCCGCATACTGATCACCTTATTCTTAATGTCTGACGCCGTGAACGTAGTAAAAAACCAAGTCGCCAACTGTCAAAACCAAAACAACATTTATACGATATAAATCAATTCCTGAAACTGAAGTTTTCTCTGATATTGACCTTTTATAAATGAAATGAAAACTGTAGCCTAATTATCCTTTTCTTTCAAAAATTCTTTTGTTACAAGGGATTATCTACAATCTTACTAGAGATCATAGGTGAAAAAAATTATGACACTGAAATATACAACAGGTAATTTGATCTATGTTACAAATAAATGTACAAATTTATCAATTATTGTTTATAATTACTGCTTTCTTTAATACATTTAATTTTTCCTCCATTCAGACAGGACTCACCTTTGACCACCAAGTAGGATGAATGATGTAAAAAGACTTCATATTTTTCCTGTACCTAACATGAGAAATAAAGATATAGGTACATTTTAATATAAAGCAAAGTAATTTTATCATAAAATGTAACTAACATATCATTTTGTCAATAGTTTCTGTAAAAAAATTGGTTAAAAAAATTTGTTAAAAATCTTGATAGTATATATATAAATATCAAAACTTTACATAGAACACATAACAATACTGTTGTAATTTTTTGTTTACAATGTCTTCTTTCAAACTCGACATGTTATGGCCTTAAATCCAAAAATATTTTGGTTTTAGAAAACATCAATGAAATAAATTGTGACAAGCAAACATTCATGTCATCACACATTTCTAAACTTTCAATTAAATGCATCCATGACCCTTACTTGTTGTCTAGGATACAGTAAATCTGTTTTAGGAACGACATGTCGGGATGATTGATAGCTGTTGTCTGAGTGTGGAAATATACGACGACGTAGTCCGACTCAACGATAGGTTCCATCACACGAATCAGGTACAGTAAAGCCTAAAAAAGTAAAAAAACATGAAAATCCATGTCAGCTGTAACAGAAAGTGTATAATTACATGATATATATGTCTTAAGTTATTATTATTACACATAAAGGAGATGATATCCAAAACCATTGGCAAGTTTAATTATGATTTTAAGGTTAAATGATACAGCTGTGTAATGAAATTTTGAATGTCTCATTCAGTGCTTTTCACTTTTTAAAATTATCTCTAATTTTGACAATATTACGTATATAAAATGAATTTTTGTCTTTCACGTACCCTCTCCATATTTATTGAGTTGGCTGGGAAATGTTTTCCCACTAGAATGACGACGGGTCGGCCGAATCGGTCCACCCCTGACCTGTAGATACACTTCAGGGCTGCAATGTCTGTCAGGTCATCCATCTTAGATCTCTTCAGTAGTCTCTCATACCTAAACAGTAATAACCTTGTCTTCAGAAACTTGCATGTTAATACTGTATATGCAGAATTTTTAGAGAGGATTTTGCCATTATTAGCTAGGGTGCTGAGATCATTAAAACTGAATATCACTAAAAAATTATTTCATTTTAGTTGTAAAAGTCTTTCTAGAGAGCATTTTAAAATCCTTAAAAATTACTTCTCACTAATAGTCTATAAAAATAAAATATACCAATTCTTCAGGACATTTTGTTGAATTTACTAACCTTCGTTTATTTTCTAGTCGCCTCTGTTCTGTGGAGAGACCAGGCATTTGATTGTGTACTAACCTTAGTTTGTTTTCTAGTTGCCTTTCTTCTGTTGTTAATTGACCAGACATTTGATTGTATACTTTACCTTCGTTTATTTTCTAGTCGCCTCTGCTCAGCTGTTGAGTGACCAGTCAGATGGGACATTTTCAGTTCATCAGGATCACTCTGCATCTGAGCAAATGGATGTCGACCCACCTCCACCACTGTTGATGTTCCAAACTCCTTGTTTAAATCCACCGTCTCCTCTAGTTCCTCCAGACCCTGACTGCTTCCTTCAAAGTGAAAGTGAGAGTAGAACACTGAATCAAAATTATTAAAAATAACAGAACAGGATGTCCATACTTTGTAAGAATTGCTTATGGGTGCATTTGAATTTCAGAGTGCTGAACTAAATTGGTTCATAGTCAATCAAGCTTTTTAGAAATGTTGAAACCAAGATGTCTTTAAAAAATAAAGTTCATTTTAAATTATATAATAATTTCTTCAAGAAAATTAAATTCTTGGATGAATTTTGTCTAGGAACCATACTTATGTGGTTTTGTCCAATTTATCAGCAGTCATGAAAGCCACATAATTTCTACATAATTCACCCCAATCCCTAAATGATTTATGAAATACTGCCATAAAGTTGTGATCACAAATTGAAATTATGAAATACAGCAAAACTCATTTATTACGAACACGGATATTGCAAATTTATAGATACATTGTATAACGAATTACGGATAAAGTGAAGTAATTTCATGGGTCCCTGTAACTTCGTCATAACCGAGTTTTGCTGTAGTCCTTTAATTTTTTTTGCCATGGAATCCCAAAAAGCACTATTTCTCTTTCTCTCTCTCCCCAATTCCACCTATCCCTCTCTCTTTCTCTCTCTCCCCCACTCCCCCTATCCCTCTCTTTGATAATAACTCAGATTAACTGACTGATGGAGGACAGCATCAGTTTGTCTGCGACTCTGATCTCTCTCTCTCTCCCTAACCCCCCCCCCCATCTCTCTCTCTCTGATAATAACAGATTAACTCACTGATGGAGGCCAGCATGGGTTTGTCCATGATTCTGATTTGTCTCTCTGGGATGATTGGTTCACCGTCTTCATTACCGATGTCCTCCGGTAGACATTTTATTGCCTCCACTTCCTCTTTACAGCTGCGGGGGAAATACAGTGGCAGAACTTTCATGTAAGTGTCCTGTAAATCACAATAAAATTAAATCTATATACAGTTCACTCAATTCTATTTCAAAAGTAGGGGAGGAGGGAAAAACATGTACCAGGTATGATTTTAATGATTGTAAAGTATCCTTCAATCAATTCATAATCATAAAGTATCAAACACAATTTAATGTCCTATTTAAAAGCTTTCTAATGACAATTAATCATATCAGGATGAATGACTCAATTCATAGGCTAAACAAGGTTAAAAACTTTATGAAATAAATAAGTTACAAACCAATGTGTCCTCATTACAAACAAATATCACTGTGTCAATATCTTCTCCAAATTTCTCCAGGAATCTCCGAATTGTTCCTGGTGTAAAACAGAAATGCCAAAAGGATATTTATGGATACAAATTTTTATAGAAGGTGAAATCAACAATTACACAGAGGAGCTATTTTTCCTGCTTACATTAATTGTAACTTACTAATGGCAATGTGGGCCCCGTCCTCTGTAGGATAGCCTCGTCTCATGGAGTGAAGACAGGGAATGGCCACAGATTTCATCTGGTGCTCCCTTTAATGTAAAAAAAAGGTCTAGTAGCTTTAGTTCTAAATACTCTACAAACAGAATAAAAGTTTACTTAAAATTGGAAGGAGATTAATCTTTTATTCAAGACAGGGAATGCATGAAATGTAACTGCAACTTTCTATCAAAGCTAATGGCTTGGGTACAACCTTATTCCTGTCAATGTTCACTGTTTAATATTTTGTGTCTTAATTGCTTGACTTGTTTGTGTACACTCCTGTAAAATTTTTAATGTTTAGTGTCTTACCTGACCTGTCTATTTTATGTTTTTTGCCTTACCTGACCTGCCTGAGAACACTCCTGTAGCAGCTGAACAGAGCACTCTCGGCCGCCGTGATGTATTTGATGTTATACCTGTTTAGTGTCTTACCTGACCTGTCTATTTTATGTTTTTTGCCTTACCTGACCTGCCTGAGAACATTCCTGTAGCAGCTGAACAGAGCACTCTCGGCCGCAGTGATGTATTTGATGTTATACCTGTTTAGTGCCTTACCTGACCTGTCTGAGCACTCTCGGCCGCGGTGATGTATTTGATGTTATACCTGTTTTGTGCCTTACCTGACCTGCCTGAGAACACTCCTGTAGCAGCTGAACAGAGCACTCTCGGCGGCGGTGATGTATTTGATGTTATACCTGTTTAGTGCCTTACCTGACCTGCCTGAGAACACTCCTGTAGCAGCTGAACAGAGCACTCTCGGCGGCGGTGATGTATTTGATGTTATACCTGTTTAGTGCCTTACCTGACCTGCCTGAGAACACTCCTGTAGCAGCTGAACAGAGCACTCTCGGCCGCGGTGATGCATTTGATGTTATACCTGTTTAGTGTCTTACCTGACCTGTCTGAGCACTCTCGGCGGCGGTGATGTATTTGATGTTATACCTGTTTAGTGCCTTACCTGACCTGCCTGAGAACACTCCTGTAGCAGCTGAACAGAGCACTCTCGGCCGCGGTGATGTATTTGATGTTATACCTGGGTCCCACCGTGTGGATCACAAATCGAGCCGGCAGTTTGTGTCTTTTGGTAGTCTTTGCCTCCCCTGTCTTACATACTGAAAAAATCAGTTAATGACTCATATTTACAACCAAAAATAATTTTTCAACCAGGACCTAGCAGTATTTTTTTTTTATTTGGAAAATGCTTACACAGCATCATTACCCTGGACACCATCACAAGTAACTGATTGATTTAAGAAAAATTGAACTTTCCAGAATTAAAATATGAATTAATAAAATGCTCAATTCGTACATGTATGCATGCTGCACTTTTGTCTAGTTAATTCTTTAATGCTTACCTGATATTGCGGTAAAGAAATTCCTTACTATTAACATTAACTGATTCAGTATTAGCAAAACATGGTGTAAATCAAAATAAAAGTCAAATTAAGTGCATCATTCATGTTCTCTGAAAAAAGGTCATCTCCCTTTATTTAAAGCACTAGGTTCACATGATAAGACAAAACATTCCGTCTCAATATTCAGTGGTTAGAGCACTGCACAGCACACAACAAACCCTGAGCATGAGTCCCAATTATGACATCAATTTTTTTAATCAACTGTGACATTTGGCCCCTTACATACAAAATACCCACTATTTCCTTGAACAAGCTTCACAGCATTTCATTAACTCGTAGAATTCAAGGACAAATTTCTGCAGATAGAGTCACCATGTTCACAAGTGTGTGAAAGTCAGTCAATATATCATGCCTCAAAAGCTCCATGGTTGGAGCTATGACACACAGAGACTTGATTTTCACCACCTGTGCCATAAAGATGCTACTTTGCTTGTTACCTACTTCTGACATTGTTCCTGATTTCCGCCACTAAATCAGGTCCACCTTTCCTATAAATAGTTTCTGTTTCTGGGAGTTTGGCATCCAATCTTTCGTTGGTCAGGTTAACAATCCCATGCACCACAAGACGAGTAATATCACCACACCTACAAATGTATTTCTGGTTGATGAAAATGCCCAATATTAGGCAAGCGGTAAATCTAGTCTTCCCGACTCCCGATGCCCGACTCCTGACGGTCCCGGATTTTGGATTTTTAGCGATTTCTTTTTTATCGGTGCACAGAACTTTTTCAAACTTTGCATGAACATTTTCTAGGTTTAAATGAATTCATTAATGCATAAAAACTCTAGGAAACATGCGTATTTATTACTGAATCAGCAGTATCACCTGCCAAAAAGCAGTAAATCTAGTACTCTGATGTAAATGTTAAAACCAAAAACGGACACCAGTGTTTTCATAGAATCGCGATTCAAAACAACAAAATGAAGTATATATTTTTTCTTAAATAATAGGAAAACCTCATTTACATACCTTATAATTTATATGCACAAAAACTATCATATATTTTCTTTTTTTTAATTCAAAGTTATGCTCATCAATTGTCGAAACATAGCCGCGATAAGCGGAGACTTGAGGTTTCGTAGATCATAATATTGATATTACTTGGGAAGATATTTCTTCTTAAAAAAGATGGAATTAGTATTTCAGTGAAATTGGTGATGTTAAAAAAATATGAACATTTTAATTTTTATAAAATCCATAACTGTAAACATCAAAATGACTTTTAAAGTGAGGTTCCTTAAAAATTTCAATCATAGAATTTTTTTAACATGCTAATGCAGTCGATAATTACTTATTATATAATAAAACCTTTATTTAAGTAGTGTTAGTCTGGTTACCTTGGGTAAAATAATTATAATTCCCTAATCACCTGATACAGTGAAAATGAAGAGATATTCTGTCAAACAAAAAAAATAATTATGTATGGTAAACTGCTGCTAAAACAAAGCTATTAAGATAATTAAGTTGTAATCGGAGACAAACCATGGTCATTAAAATATTACCGTAATTAATCTGATCATGTTTTTGTCATTGTGTAGGTATTCCTATGATAAGTAAAATTTAGAGTTAACTTAAAATCAATCAACAAAAAGTAAATTCAAATTTAAAGAAAAAATAAAACAATTAAATAAAACGGGGGCTCCGAGGTAGAACCATGTCAAAGTCATAGAGCCTGTGAATATGATGTGACAAAGAGTTCTATACAAGGAAAAGAAAGAAAAGAAATGTGTTTTTGTGCATACAAATTATCTGGCATGTAACATGTGTAAATGAGGGTTTCCTTTAATTTCAAAAAAAAATTATATTTCATTTATACTTCATTTTGTTGTTTTTCATCGCAATTCTACGAAAACATCGGCATCGGTATCCGTTTCTGGTTTTCACATTTATAACAGAGTACTAGATTTACCGCTTTTTGGCAGGTGATACTGATGGTTCAGTAATAAATACACAAATTTGTTAAGGTTTTTACGTAACAATGAATTTAAACCTAGAAAATGTGCCTGAAAAGTTTGAATAGTTTCTGTGCACCTTGAAAAGAGAAATCGCCAAAAAATCCAAATCCGGGACCGTCGGGAGTCGGGAAGACTAGATATACCGCTTGTCCCAATATTATCACATTTTCCATATGCTCAAACAAAAATATATTTATATTGGCATGTTCAGCATAAGTTTGTGAAATAGATAACAAAGACCATATATGCTCAATTTTCTCAATGTTAAATCAGCGAAAAAAAAAGTTTTCATTTGTCATGTTTGTACTGAAAACAACACCAGGATATAAAGAACAATCAGCAAAAGAACCATACCACAGAATAATTTTGGAGTTTAAATTATTATTCCAAGGAAACGGGGAGATTTCAGCATCTTTATCTTCCTCTGACGTCATTGGCAGCTGCGTTAAGTTCCATCGCGTCAATTCATCAAGCTCCACACAGTCTGAACGAGCTCCTAACGGGTCATCCATTCTTTTTATCTCTCTTTCAAACTTCCGTTTTCGAAAACTAAAGTAGAGGAAAATTCCTGCCAATGTTTCCGCTCAAAACTTTTTTTTCCTCTGCTACATAGCTACCTATGATATCATTGACGAATTTATCTTAATCTATACAATGAAAACGCAAGTGGAACTATTATTTCCCTCTAGTTTTTGTTTACTCTAAATCACGAGTAATTTTCATCCAGTATAGGGAAATCCTCCATCTTGTGATCATGTGATTAAAGTTAAACCGGTATCTATACATTTCGTTCTACAATCATTCCAGTCCCTCCTCCCCGCGTTATAGCCGCTTGTCAACTGTAATTTCATAGATTTTATTCATATATCTAATTAACTAATTTATTTATTTAGAATTAAAAAAAAAAAACTTTAAAACACTTTTCAATCACATATTTATTTATAAATATATATTTTTTGTAATATTAGACTCAATGAATTTACAATCAAAGAAAAGCACACAATTATACGAAACACACCATCCTGAAACCGAGCATTGTTGCATTTTTTGTTTGAGGCGAAATACGTTTTCTTTATTTCCAATTTTAACTTCTGAACAAAAGAAGAATGAGAAAAAAAATATTTCTGCAAAACAAAATTTTAGAATGCGAGAACAAATAGATATCTTAATTGTTTGTCCAAACGAAAAACAAACTTGTCGAAATTACTTATTACATTATTTGTCTATTACGATAGCCCATTGGGCTCAATTTCACAATCCAACTTTCACAAAAGTGGTGGGACAAATTAATTTACCTTATTTTGTCAATTTTCTGAGATCTTGATTTTTGTATCTTTATATCAAGGTAGGATTCTTCTCGATCTGGTTTCTGACTAGATGAAACATTCAATTTGAAAGTATATTTGCTTATATGTCTTATGTGTAAAGGATTTGTATAATTCTTATATTTTTCTTTCCTCATCAGAATTATACAACTTTAAATAGAAATGGTAAATTGCGTTTGAAAACTAGCAGGGACTATATTTTTGGCGCAAAATTACGATATAGCAATGGATTTAGCTATAATTTTTACACGATCAAAGACTTGAAGAAATTTTCAAATGTAAATTAAATTAATTATAAGGGACTAAACTTTCAAAATATATCAAATAAATATGATTTTTCAAGCAAACTAGAACTGTGTAAGCTTTTAAACGCTTCCAATCAAAGTACAGATTTGAGCCAAAAATCCAAAAAAAAAAAAAGAGGATTTTTTCCCTCTTAGTAAACGATCAAAACTTTTTGTTTAAATTGTATCATTTTGTACATTGATAAGACAACTTTATTAAATGTGAAAATAAGAAAAAGTTAAATATAGGAAGCATATGAAAGGAATTAAGGATATGGAGATAACGAACAGTATAATCAATCTCAAAATAACTAATATATCCTTGAAAAAAATAAGATAAACAGAGAAAATTCGAATTAGCGAATATCCAGTTTAGTTAAATTATTTATGTAAATTTGGTAATATCATGCTATAGACCCGATATAGTAATATCTTTTTATGCAAAAGAAACAATCTTTAATATTTTTGGAAATAGTAGTAGGCATCACATGATTGGTAACAGTCTTTTTTATTCATAATGTCAAGGAAAAAGACCTTGACCTGACCTTGCGTCTAATATAAAACGGTCAAATTTAATCTCACTGATACCACTATCCCTTACTGATATTGTCTTCTTGATTCTGTGAAAATTTCATTAATTTTTGAATACAAGAAATATGAGAAGAATCCTACCTTAAATATTTTTACTTCAAATTCTAGATAGAATGTATATATATAAAAAAAAAAAAACGGCGGAAAAGGAGTGATTTTTTTTTTTTTTTTTTTTTTTTTTGCAGTTCATAGTCTTGAAGTATAACTTTTTGAAAAGTCGCGTTAACTTTGAATTGTTTGAACAGCGATGCGAAAGACAAAATTGAAGGTAAAATGGATTCAATTGCATAAGAAATACTAAAATTGTTGCTTGTGATCGTCCAATATCAAAATAACCGTTTGATTATCATTTTAATGAATGAACTTGATAACAAAATCTAAAGAAATTTGAGACTTAAGTAAATGTTTTTGGTTAAACAGCAAATGTTTCGTGTTATACGCGAAACTTACGCGTTTATTTGAGAAAGTTACGCGGTTTTTTTTTTCAAGAAAGTTAGAAAGTTACGCGTTTATTTGCAAAAGTTTCGCGTTATAACGCGAAAAATTAAGTCTGACATGCAGTTATTCCTTATATTTACATGGTATTGATTCCGCCAATTCACGTGCTACAAGCCCCGCTTCTTGTCCCGCCCTGCACCTGATTTTTTTAGCCGCGTCTATCGATGAACCAGTACATTGATGGAGAAATAAAGTACATTAACTATTTGTAATTTTATCTCGAACAAAGACATTGGAAATGTAAATATTAAATTTTTATAATTCGCAAATATTAAGATTCTCGAGTTACGAAATATATATTATCTTTAAAAAATATGCTGGATATAGAAGTGTATTTGTTGACAAGATCAGAACAGACTGAAATGATGACGTTATCCCAGAGTGCTGATATCCTTGTTTCATTAAGGGGGATGTACGGCCACCTTTAGTGCTGTGAGAACAAAATGTAAACATTTCTTCAAATACATCATATTTTGATCAAATTTTAAGTCCTTATGATAAAGATACAATAAATATGCATAAATGAATGCATGTTGTGCATATATAATCTATACTTTTGCAGAAAAATGCTCTTGATATGCTCCTTAGAACTGCGCAGCTACAGAATTCAGCAGAGCCTTAAAAAATCCAAAAAAATATGCAAACTGTGCATCAATGTTCTCTCTACAACCATTTGTTGAGAAAATGTCTAAATTTTGCACTTTTAAATGATAATTTCAAGTTCAAAACAAGGTATCGTTGTCTTCAAAAAGAGTTTAAAGAACCATGAAAGTAGTTCATGCATAACAGCACGTGGTCTATTTTTAGCACAGAATTTTGTTTTCCAGACCTCTTCTTAATATGGAGGGACATAACAATCTTTAAATGTAGAAGAGAATTACAGTTGCAAAATATTTCAAATAGTATGAACACTTTTAAAAGAGGAAATGTGTTATAGTATGGCTTGAAGTAATTTATTTAGTATTATTATCGAACAGTTGTTAAATAATGTACTTATTGATATCAAAGAAAAAAATCTTAAACTCTTTGATTCCAGGTAAGGAAAATGAGCACCATCAAAGTTAAGAATTAAGAGTTTGTAAGTTTGCCACAGATAACATATAATATATATTCATTGTAAAGAATAAATTTGGTGCACACATAGCCAAACACAAGTTCTATAAAATAGCATATGCTGAATAAAGTTTTGCTCATAATGACGTCATTATGCAGGTACTTGTGACGAAAAATGGTTGCCTCAGTGGACCTCGTTTAACAAACGACTAAAATATTTATGGTATATCTTAAAAATGCCTTTGAAGTAGCATATAAGAATTTGTTCATAGTTTATTAAGACAAATGACTTCCTACAAATTCAATCAATGATTGGATAGATCGTTTTAGTGAAGGAAGGCAGATGGTTAAATATGATACTTGTTATATTGCCCAGTGATATATTAGCAAGTTTGAAAAGGGATGTGTTTTTAATTAAGCAATATGCTATCAAAGACCTCCAATTAACACTTTGAAAAATACTTGAATATTTCAACAATAATATAACTATCAAATACCTAAGATATATCGTTTACTTTTTGATCTACCCTCGTATAGTCTGTCAAATAAACATTTACAATTTTGATTTTAGCGGAGCAACATTTGAAAAGGAATGAAATCATTCAGAGTGGGTTAGGAGATTTAATGAATAAGAAAACTTTTTCTATTTGCCCTTTTTGTCAAAATTACAATTTTACAGAGTAAAGAAAAAAATCAACATTCATAAATATTTTATACCATCTTTAAAATGACGTTTAGTGGTCCTCCCAACTCAGGGAAAAATTATTGGGTCCGTATTTATAGGTGAGAAAAAAATTCCTAAAATTTTAAACATATTCGTTGACGGAAGAAAAAAAAACATGTAATGGGATGTAAAAAAAAAAATGAGTCGGGCCATTTCTAGGCAGTAGATCGGGAGAGAGGGCAACCAAATATTTTTATAACAAATTGTCTTATAAGGCTAGTACATGTTCCATCACATACTTAGTAATGCAAATTTTTTTAATCTTTGGCACTATTTTGAAAAACAAACATAGGATTTTTTTTTGGGGGGGGGGGGGTAGCCCCTTATTTTTTTTTCGTGATAGACATAGCATATGCAATGGACTTTTCTTCGCAAACATTGTGCTTGCTTCTAAATTTCAAAGAAACAACTCAATATATTTTATCAAGCTTCGTATGTTCAATGAGCGAGAGCTTACAATGTTGTCAACATAATGAGACATGATGCGTTTTTATGTCCAAACATTACTCCATACAATATGTGGTTCATTGCAAACAATCTAGCTATTTATGTGAGGTGCCTGAAGGAAATCCTATAACTGCCTATTTTTTCTATCTAAGTGCTAAACAAAATAGACACATGTACCAACTTTTCGAATGTAAGACATGTAATTACAATTTGTTTTTCATGCACCGCATATTGTTTAACATTTTCAAATTAAATGCTAAGCATCCTCCTTGCAGTGCCCCATTTGAAAATAACTTCTATCGCCACAGAAAAAAGACCCGCCGTAATCACATATGTTTAGGACATGTTTTATCTTTTTTCTTGAGTTTTAATGAAACCAACAAATCATCAAGACTTGTTCCATGAAAAATAAAATATAATCATGGTAATAAACTCATCTATCCACAGCAGATATATGCACATGCCAACCACGTGCTCAGTGGAATGATATTATCGAGGAAACTCGAGCTGTAAACAGAACAGTTTTTCCCGATTTGCTGGAGTGGGGTTAAAATCGCTTTTTTTCATTAATCAGACGATGCAATGCAACAAATAAAAGTAGTAAGTAATATAACCTAATGATTATTACTTAGTAATTTCTTGTCTTGATGTTATTATGGTCGCATTTATTCTAAAACCAATGCTATTCGAACTTTGTGTGACAGAGGAATGGCGGACGAAATAAACACATGGCCTCAGGAAGACACCCATATGAAAAATCAAATTTTCAAGAATTATGGATAATGACAAGAAAAACGCGAAACAAATGGTTGTAGCCATATTATCAATGAATCAAACTAACACTATATTCAATGCATTTTTCATCTCGTGAATGCTGTAGCTGCGCAGTTCTAACATGATTAATTTCCTCCTAATTAAAACAAAATAAACTTAATTATTAACTGATTTTGGTCTCTAATAGTAGGTAATTAGTGCATTAGCACTTTGAGTAACTTTGGGCTAGTTTAGTAGAGTATTAAGCGCATTCTTGGTATATATTTTCTTATTTTACACCAGACTAGATCCAATATGGCTTGTACATCCCCCTTAACTTGTTGGTCAAGGGATTGGCTCGTTTTAGGTTCATTCATTTTGCAATAAACAAATATATATTTATTATATCAATGAGATTTCAACATGGCAATGGGGGATAATGTATTTCTCAATAGATCCCTTGTGTAGACGTCTGTTTTTATGTGAGTAGATCCTGCTCGGCGCTCCTCTGTTATTATATAAACCAGCCCGCAGTGTGAGCACTCGACCAGTCTGTAGGGCAGCTGTGTGTGGAAACTGCTGATCGGTGAGTCATTCTTGTTGTTTACCTTAGATTGAGTTCATTACTCTTTGAGTGTAAATTTTACGGCTGTTCAAAATTATATCGACATACCTTAGTAAAAGAAAGTGTTTCCCCTCTGTTTTTAAATAATTCAGAAAATAGCATTCTTTTAAAATAGACTTACGTGGTTTTAATAATGAAAATGACGAGAATACCAAAAAGTTTAGAATCCCACTATTGTCTGAACTGGTACTGCATATTGCGAAATTTCCGTACCTTCCAATCTAATTATGTATCATGCAACTATAGATCGCACGTTATTGAAAGCAATATGAGCTGCAACTTTGATGTCGGAATTCTTTATTGCAGAAATGCAATTAACTATTTCAACATGTTCAAGAACAGAGAAAAAGAACATTCACGTAACCTTCTGTTGTTCATATAAGAACTATTTATAACCTAATTATACTATATATTTGATTGTATAGAGGTCTTTCTTCTGAAAAAATATTAATACTTTATTTTAATAAAAAAAATTAATAACAAACAAATCTATCATTATAACTCATTTTAATGGCAAAGTAACGTTCTCAAAAATGTAGCTCATATTGCTTTAAAAAATCCTGTACGTGAGATTAGTCAAAAAGTACCGACGTCGTTATAATGAGAAGTAAGCAGGTTTTACTAAACATCGTCTAATTCTGTGAACTTCTACACACGAGTGCATTCTGACATAGATTTGATATTTTCAAGGTCGCATCAGACGTTTATATACAGTTGTATGTTAAAACATCAGAAAAAGCTAACAATGTTATCACAGTTCGCACATATCACAGTTTCCCAATATTTTAAAGATTCAGATCTGTATAGTGACTTCTAAAACGAAAGGGAAAATAAAAACTTTGAACTTTATTTTTGCACACAATGTACAGTCAAGATCAGAGGTGGGCCAAGAACCTTTAATGGGAGACAAGTTGTTTGATAAATGCTTTTGAGAAAAAATGATTGTGTTGGTAAATTTCAGCCTACTGGAAGCAGTTTTAGATGGGATGTGAATGAAATTCAAGCTTAAGCCAAATGAAAACGTCGTCACACGCTATTATAGTGATAATTAAGCTTTGTTTTGTATACGTTATATATAATTGCAAAATTATTGAATAGGAAATGGGCGTAACTATAAATATGTATTTGTACATAGTAACTACAATTATACTGGTTACATGATTAAAACAAAAAAGTGTACACACAGAGTTGTTTATGTGTCTTCGAACGTATGCTCAGCTTACAGTTCAGAGTTCCAGGCTTTCGTTTATTTTTATCATTACTCACATGGTTTTTTTCTTTTCTTAAAGCGTTATTTTACTCTTCATGTTATGTTTATTTTTTAATAAAGTATAAACGCAAACTACAAAATACATTTTTTTTTTCAGATCAATCATGTCCAAAGTTAGCTCTCCTTCGTATCGGGAGAGTTGGGTGGACAAACTAAATGGAAAATGGACGCCATTGCTGTTCCTCATCTTAGGCCTTCTGGCATTTCTTGGTCCCCTGTTCGTTAGTCCAATCGAATGTAACTTCCCAGCCCCCTTTACTGAGCAGAACGTAGCCTACGCCAAGGCTCGCTGTTACGAAGTCAAGCATTTCATGAGACTGTCTGATCTGCCCCTAAAACCACGTGGTGTTTCTAATGAAACAATATTTTTGATTGCAAATGAAGACGAGGACCAAACTGGAGAACGAACATTGTACCAATATGTGTCATTAATTCTAATATTACAAGCAATATTTCTCCGAATACCGTTTATGGTGTGGAAATTGGGAGAGAAAAGATTAGGTATCCATTTCACTGTCTGCAAATATAACTCCGGTGATGGCAGCAAATTTATGGGTAAAAGGCTGGCGATTTATTTACAGAAATGGATACAGGACCGTAAAATAAATATTCTCTCCCTTGGATCACTCACTCTTTTTCATTGCTTTATCAAATTGCTCTATTTTGTGAGCGCTTCCACACACCTTGGTATCTTGGATCCGTTCCTAAAACAGGAAAGAGAAATCAGCTTTGGATCTCAGATCCTAGGAAACATACGGGAAAACAATATCTCTCTGTATCAGAATTCTCCAGCCTTCCCACGACATGCATTTTGTGAATATGGAATTGTGTATTTGCAAAATACCCAGAAATATCTGGTTCAGTGTACCTTGCCACTTAACCCCTATCTAGAGCAGATGATGGCGGTGGCTTGGTGGTGGTTGATTTTCACTGTCGCCGCCACCGTGGCGGACGGTCTCCTGTACTTCTTTGGAGCTGTGCTTCCTTTCTTCAGGCTTTGGTAAGTTTTGGTTGACAATAATTGATTTATATCAAATCGTAAAGGGAGGCATGCAATATTTCATGTCAACAAATACATTTAAAAGTACAAATGTTGTAAATTTTGCAGGTTTGTAAAAGCGAATCTGATGACAACAGAACTTGGAAATTCAAAGCAAGCACTGTCGGAAAGAAATATGAAAATGTTTGCTGACGATACCTTGGGAGAAGACATGGTAACCTTCCTGAAGCAAGTCCAGGAAAATGGGAATGGGTGCGTGGTAATGGAAGCGGTTACAGAACTCTGGAGAATTCAGCATGGCGGCAGTGACACAGAACCGCAACAAGCTAGTTATCCATCACATCAATCTACGTCTGCGATGAACCTGGAACCAATACAGACCACACAACAACCAGAAAATATCCAGGGAGGTCAAAAGGCACCCCAAGGGCAGGTCTATCTACCGCCGACCGCTCCTTCTATTTACCCATCATATGCGACCAGTGCACCGTGAAAAAACGAAGACGAATTACCTTTATTGGTAATTTTTTTTTTATCTAGCATGTCCCCTTTAAGGATAGAAAAACTTTCCTTTTTGAGGCATTATATAAATATATTTTAAGATAAAGTTTTATATCATGTACTGTTTACTATGTACTTTAAGGACGTTCGATCCTGTGTTTTTGAGTGGAATTTGGTCTGGACCTTTATTTCTAAAATTTTGCATCGTTTGTAAGTTTTAACGTTGAATTTAGATTCTACAATGCAAATTAAACTATATCCATTGCAAAAACCGCAATTAAATTCCATTCAAGAAGGGTTAAACCAGGGACTATACTTTGTGGCGGAAGGTTTACTAGACGAAAATTATCAATTTATCCCTTTTGAACTTTATAGAGTAGTGTTAATTTTAGATTCCTATTTTTCCATGCTGGTTGCACACAAAGCTGTTTTTTGCAGTGAAATGTGTTCTGAAATCGTATCTATTAAATTATCTTATAAATTCTTTCGACGAATTATGACATATTTTTTCGTTATATCTAAAAATTTATATCATATACCCCCACTTTTGATGTTCTTCTCTGAATATTTAAGATAACTTTGACCTATCTGCTTAAATTCAGCAAATGTTTAAGACTTAGTAATAATTTACTTGCTTGTTAAGTTTAAGTTATGAGTGCAGAAAGGTCAAATACTTGATTATGTGTAGCAATTTGAAACTTTTTCTTAGTCACAATTTTAAAGTGTCTTTTTTTTAAATCGACTTATAGTTTATTTTGTTCCATGCTTTATTTGAATAAAAATATTAGAGGGAAAACGTTGAAGATATAATTTTTTATTGAGACAAAGATTTCAGTGCAAAAAGGTCATATTTAATGTACTGTAGCGCCAAAAGAAGCATATTGACCCCCGTATTTTGATTTGATTTTTAATTAAGATGTGTAAAGAAAGTGAAAATATACTTGACAAAAAAAGTTTAAGACTCTAAATATGAGGATCGAACGTCTTTAAAAGTAGATAATACATGTATTTATACACCTTTTTATGTACTTTAATATAGACGGTAGAATAAAGCAAGTTGTAACATCCTTACTGGTTACGATTTTATTAAAAAAAAAAAAAAGAATACAATTGTGTATATTAATAATGTTGGGAATTTTCTTCATTCTTTTGAGTACTTCATGTACCTGGTCACAGAGGTAGTGTCCGGTCATCAGGGGATGCTCACTCCTCAAAGTCACCTGATCCCACCTTATTTGGTACTCATGTTACTAGTGGGTCTGAGTTTTTTCCCTGTTCACGACAAGTTTCGTTAAATGCATTGATGAGAGTGATCAATTTTCTTATCTTCTTCTTAAATACTGAGTATTTGATTAATTGGACAGGTGTGTTCTTTTCGTTTTAAAAATCACCCAACATGTGCACAGTATCGGACCCGTCCAGATGAGCTACGTTTGTAACAAGTATTTCGAAATTCCTTGCATATGGTATTTCGAAATAAGTTGTTTATATCATTTTCCTATCTTGTTTTAGAAATCTGAGCAATAATATTTTGGATTTTCTATATTTCAGCATGAACATCAATAAACAGACATAATTTGTCGAAATGCACAAATGGTGCATCGATCAAAGTTGTATCGCAATTAGCAATTGTCCGAGGTCGGAACGTCCTGAGGTAATCCCTTTGGCAATTTGTTTTTGATTGCCATCGCTTATAAACCCAACAATATTTTCTTTAAAAAAACATATATTTTAGAACAGAATAACAGTATAACGTTCGTTTTTATTAGTATTTGTGATTGGAAGGAATATATATAAAGTTAGAAATTACATGTAATTGTTTCCATTTGTTTTCCATATACTGTTGATATGTGGATATGAATCAAATGTCATGAATGAAGGATATGGAGATAACGAACAGTATTCAATATCAAAGTATATAAATTATAAAACAATATAAAAGAGGAGCAGAGCAAACACGGACCTCCGAAACACAAGGAGGTGGGACCAGGTGCCATGGAGGAGTGAGCATCCCCTGCTGACCGGTCACACCCGCCGTTTGCTGCTTGTTGAGATCTGGAAATAACGGAAAAATCCGTCGTCAATTCAGTGTATAATTGTATAAATAATGGACTAACAATTACAAATTTAGTTTGAAAAAAAGTCCGTCAGTATTTGTCTCAATGATAAATTGTATTTGCTGACAAGGTCATTGTATCGACCATAGAACTTACGAAATGATGAATTTAAACGAAACTGTTAAATATCCGTGTGTTCACACATTTGATAATCACTAAACATCAACTTTTGGGTGAGTAAAACAATGTTGAACTTTAAAAATGTTATGATTAATATGTCCATGTTTATAGATTAAGATGCATTTTATGAAGAGTTTTCATTTGGCATAGTAGTCAGTGTTTAACATTTATAAACTCAAAGTAAAACAAAAACTTTTTCAACTAGCGTGTTCCCTTTTAGGATAAAGAAATAACAATGTACTATTTAAACATGTTAAAATGCATTATCAACTAGTAATTATTTTTATCTAGATATATAGGGTTTTTTTACATACCAGTATATCTTTTACTAAATACATGTACAACAATATATATAATATATAAAATAAATAAGGTTGCAATATCCTTAATGGTTACGGCTTTCAGTTTGTTTTAAAAAGAATACAATTGTGTCTATTGGTGGTGTTGGGATTTTCCTTCATTCTTCTGAATTCTTCAAATACGTATATCTGATGAACACATGGTGCTAAGGTTTTGCCCTGTTCACGATACGTTTTGTTAATTGTATTGATGAAAGTGATCACTTCTTATTTTCTTTAATATTTGATTAATTGGACAGGGGTGTACATTTCCATTTGCAATCATATTATTAGAAATTAAGCTACATTTGTTTATTATCGGACACATCTTTACGTTTGTTATCTTTCAAAATTCCTTGCATGAGGTATTTCGAAATGCCGGTATGTTGTTTACTTTACTTAGTATTTTCCTGTCTTGTATTAGAAATTCGGGGCATTAATACTTTGGCTTTCCTATGCTTCGGCATTAGTATCACTAAACAGACATAATGTATCGAATTGCGCAAAAAGTGCATCAAAATTGCGTTTTACATTTATAACTTAAAAGTTAATTTTCTCATTTTTATAAATAAAATAACATTTGAAAAACTAGACTAAGAATTCTAAATATGGTAAAAGAATTTCCACAAGTGAATCTATGCAATTACCGCTAGATCGTTGTACAGTGTACATCTAGAGTGAATCTGAAAAGTAAACGGAGCTGAATTGTTTAAATTACAGAGGTCAGCATCTGTGGTTATACTGAGTAGGTCTAACAGTGATTACCGGTTATTTTATTCAGTGCTGCATTTAAATTTTAAAGCAGGCGTGACTTTATTTTGGATCACCGTAGTTCTCGTATATGTATAGTATCAAATGATATTCATTAACTGTTACAGTATTTTATATAACCCTGCTCCTCGCCTCTAATTTTATTGATGATGATAAAAATATCGAAAATTACATGTACTTTAAAAATTAGAATATATATATATATATATATATATATATATATATATATATATATATATATATATATATATATATATATATATATATATATATATATATATATATATATATATATATATATATATATATATATATATAATTATATATATATATATTTTATATATATATATATATATATGCTTATTACATTTTCAACAGTGATGAAATATTGTTATTCATTCAATTAATGATATTTTGTGACAATGTAAAGAAAACTGGAGAAGTCAAAGAAAATGTAATTAACAAAAAGTCTAATATTTAGTAGTTGAATGAGGTATTTCTTTCACTGTGATACAGGAATTTTAGTATTTTCACTTGTCCTTTGCACTCGGGTCTCTCAATCGTGAAATAAATTTTACTAAACATCCTCTATGAAATACTATTATTACAATTTATATATTTACATGATATATGACTTTCTTTGAGGTTTGTGGTCGTCTTAATTCACACAAGACTTCTGTCATTCTTTCATAGTCCGACAGTTCGTTGTAGTACTTTCATAGTCTTCTTTTGTATTTGTTGTGGTCGTCTTAATGCACACAAGACTTCTGCCATCCTTTCAAATCTGACAGTTCGTTGTAGTACTTTCATAGTCTTCTATTGTATTTGTTGTGGTCGTCTTAATGCACACAAGACTTCTGCCATCCTTTCATATCTGACAGTTCGTTGTAGTACTTTCATAGTCTTCTATTGTATTTGTTGTGGTCGTCTTAATGCACACAAGACTTCTGCCATCCTTTCATAGTCCGACAGTTCGTTGTAGTACTTTCATAGTCTTCTATTGTATTTGTTGTGGTCGTCTTAATGCACACAAGACTTCTGCCATCCTTTCATAGTCCGACAGTTCGTTGTAGTACTTTCATAGTCTTCTATTGTATTTGTTGTGGTCGTCTTAATGCACACAAGACTTCTGCCATCCTTTCATATCTGACAGTTCGTTGTAGTACTTTCATAGTCTTCTATTGTATTTGTTGTGGTCGTCTTAATGCACACAAGACTTCTGCCATCCTTTCATAGTCCGACAGTTCGTTGTAGTACTTTCATAGTCTTCTATTGTATTTGTTGTGGTCGTCTTAATGCACACAAGACTTCTGCCATCCTTTCATAGTCCGACAGTTCGTTGTAGACATTCGCCGACAATCTCAGAAACAGTTGATTCTGAACAGCGCATACCAAACAGATAATTTTATGTTTTTCCATTAAATCTCGATTTAGTTGTCTTGCTCCATCCTAAAAACAACTTAATCATATTAGCATTATATCTAAACATCACATTTGAAGACAGCAAAAGAACCTTATAAATATTTAAAGTGAGGTTAAAAATAATTAATTTTGCGTTTTGCGACACAAAGGGTTTTAAATACAGTTTTCATTTACAATCACTTGGACTTGAATACTGAATTTATCTTTTTGGTAAGTTAAGATTTGTATGCTTACAGTTGTAGCTTGATATTCTTGGTACTGTGGCAGTGGGACAAGTCGAATTCTAGGAGGTTTCATTGAGTCTGGGATCTCAACACATTTTGTACCTAATCTCTCCTCCAATAATAAACACGCCTTCTCAAGGAGATTCTCCGTATATCTGTTTATCTTCTCCTGATCAACAAAAATAACTTAGCGAGTTTTACTTTGGAATTTCTCTATAAAAATACAAGGGTGAATTTATAAAGTAAGTAATGTCATGTTCTTATTTTTGTTCATGGATGGGTGTTCTAAATTTTTATTTTAAACCCATCCATGTTAATACAGAAGTTCAAGTTCAATTTCATTTATTCACTCAAAACCATCTCAAATACATGCTAAATATATTTACAGCATATAAATTCAGGTTAGAGGTACAAGTATATTATATACATAGTAAGAAAATAAAAGGGAGAGAAAAAAAGAAAAAGACATATGAAACATGTAATAATGAAATAAGTGAGGGGGAAAACCATGGAGGACAGACTAAATCATATATTTTTTATATAAAGGCACAGAGTTTTTTTTATGTCTTAGCAACTTGTTTTATCATCAGTTAAGAAAATTTAAGAGTATTTGGTCCAGTGAAGTATTCATAAATACTCTTTTTTCTAATGTTTGACATTGCAGTGCATTCAAGTATAAAATGGAATGAAGTAGAATAAGACAATTCACATGTACTTAACTAAAAAAGAACAATTTAATTAATGTAAACAAGATCAGGTGTAAATGGATACCATTCCCCCAATATCTTTAAAAAACTTGAGTGCGTCAGGCACTAAGTAATACGGTATATTGTCACGAGTGCCTTGCATCATGAACTCTGACTGGAAGCCTTCTCTGTACGTAACTGACGTCACAAGCGGGGTACACCATGTTTGATGTTCCTCGGCCACCCACAGCACTGCACACCCACGAGGTGTGTATAACCATTTGTAGAAGTTCCCTATGTAAAAGTCAGGTTTCAAGTCATCAAGATTCACCGCTATCTGACCTAGTGCATGGGCCCCGTCTACTAAAACCAGAACTTTTCTTTTTCTGCATTCTGCTATCATGTCTTTCAGAGGAAATACCAGAGCGGCAGGACTACTGATGTGATCTAATGTAGAAATGAAGAAAAATATTCAAATTATAAAGTTAACGACCTCATCAGTATGCATTTATCTTCCACAGAGTGACATTCTTAAAGACTGGAAATAATACAACATAGAAAAAAGAAAACTAGGGCTAATTGTAACGGGGACCGTTACAGATGTTCCCCAAACGCTCCCCAACTCCCTTTTGGTGCCATATTCCCTGTAAGCTCCATTGAATAAGACATACTTTATGCAATTTAGACTTAAACAACTTTTTTTCAGAAGAATACAAAATCGTATATTTAAATTTTAGCATTGCACGCGTGCTCATTTGAATGCATGTGCGTAATGACCATATCATCTTGTCTACACTATCTATATATTTTGATATACTTGATTTCAAAGCACTTAATCCAGAAGTATTAGAAATATATACTCATTCAAACGTATTTCTAATTTTACTCATTTCACGTGCACGCACGTGCAAGCATGTGCATGATGACCATATCTTCTTGTAGGAGTTTATTATGTCTATCTATATTCTAAATCCCATCCTGTCTGGTTGGAAAACAAGGGAGTTGTAACCATTTTAAGTTTAAGCCAATCAGATTGCAGCGCACGTGCATGCGCTTATTCTCATGAA